CTGCTCTTTCCTTTGGAATGCCCTCCTAAATGCCTTCGTCCAGACAAAGCTCAGGGCTACTGGAATGTGTCTCAGGCTGCAGCCCCCAAACCTGGCCCCAATAACCTCCTACATACGTCAACCCTGCCTCAGTTTCCTCCTCTAGGTGGACACAGTGCATTGCCTCCAACAGACCTAATAAGAACTGCTGACGTTCAGGGTGAATGTCTTCAGCAAGCCTAAGTTTGGGCCTGAGCTCCTCAGACTTACTCGTCCTCAGTACCCCGAGAGGACATCTGCACATGGAGTACAGGGTGACTCCACCAAGCCTCAGCACTGCTGGCATTCACGGTTCCACACTCTGCTGGGGCCACCCTGAGCATGGTGGGTGCTGAGCAGCGTCCCAGGGCTTCCCCAAGCCCCGGAGGTGAAAACCGCAATATCTCCAGACATCACCATGTGTCCCCTGGGGGCAGAACCAGCCCTGACTACTGTTGGAATCTCTCCCAAGCCAGCCCTTCTGCCATACCCCCAGCCCCAGCACGCTCACCCCGTGAAGTCCTACAGGGCGAGGGGTGAGTCCCTCACCCCAGACCCTGGCCTTGTGGGGACTAGGTGCTGGGACACAATTCCACAGAACAGCCCTCACAGATCACAGCCAAAAGAGCCATCAAATGCAGAAATTCTTACAGGAAAGAAACCTTCCTACCATTCGCAGGCTGCCTTCAAGATTCGGGTCCTCTGGGCCCTCCCCCCAGGCCCCAGACGCAGCCTAGGCTGGATCCACCACTGGTTAGAATTCTGAGAAAAATTGTCAGGTTTTTAAAATTATGTTCACAAAAGTATTAACAAAGTTAACATCATTCACCACGCATAAGCGCCTAGTGGGATTCTAACATGCTTCCTGTGCTCTGTCTCACTCATCCCATAACAGAGGGGACACAACTGTGCCACAGAGATGCAGATTATTCCAATGGCACATGAAGTGGCAGAGCCAGTATTCAAACCTTAACCACTGACCTGTGCTGTGGGCAGGGAGAGGGCCCAAGCACCATATGGCAGGGACCCTGAGAGGCGCTAGAAAACCCCAAAGAATGCAGTGAGTCCCTGGGGCGCACTGAAGGCCACCGTGGGCCCCAGCAGACCAGAGAGGATGGAGCGCAGGTCCCCACCGCGCCAAGCTCCCCAATGCCTCGCTTGGGGGCGGCAGGTGCTCAGTCGACTGGCAGCATCACTCGAAAGACACCCCACACCCTGCCTGCACCCATGGCTGGGACCAGTGGGAATGGTGTGAGGGGAAAGAGGAGGCACAAAGGCGGCTACGGTATAAAACCACAGGTGAGAGAAGGGAACCGAGGCACAGCATCCGCCCCACTAGGGAGGCCAGGACACACTCCCTAGGCAGGGAGGAGACAGCACTCAGGAAAGAAGGAACGTCAGAAAGAGCGGGGAAGGACTCCTCCTGGGACCCACCACCCGCAAACACAGGAGCACCTGCAGATTCCAGCAAGGAAAGGGGGCCCCAAAATGTTGTGTACCTGCCTGTACAGACATCAACATCAAGGATATAATTATACTTCCTAAGATGCCACCACTGGGGAACTGGGTAAAGGAACAGGTTCTTCCTGTAATCTTAGAACTGGGAGGGTGTGATGCTGTGACATATGCATATGGTCTTTGTCCTCTTATCTCCTAAAATCCTAGGAATCTCCTAAGTGATAAATGTCTTGCCATATGCTAATGAGCTCACTGGTGGCTGCCCACCCAAGTAGCTTCAGGACAGGGCGGGTCACCAATTAGAGTGCTGGGACTCTCAGCCCCACCCCAACCATGGGGAGGGGCAGAAGGTGGAGTAGGTGACCAGTGGCCAGTGTTGTGATCACTCCTGCCCAGGTACTGGAGCTTCCATAAAAGCCCCAGAGGACTAGCTTCTGGGAGCTTCCAGATGGCCAAACTCCAGAGGTGCCTAGAAGGTGGCGCCCAGAGTGGCTCTTCCTCTGTCCCCACCGGTATCCTCTGTCTGTCAAGTCCTTTATCATGAATCAGCCAATGACAGTGTTTCCCTGTGTCCAGTGGGCCACTCAAGGAGGATAACCAAGCCTGAGGCAGGCATGGGACCCCCCCCCCCCCCCCCTTACAGCAGGTAAAAGAACCCGGGGCTCACAACTGGCATCTAAAGCGGGGGCAGTCCTGGAGGCTGAGTCCTCAACCTGTGGCTCGGAACTGAACTGAAGGGCCCAGCTGCTGTCGGCTGCTGAATTGGTTGGCTGCTCGGCCTGTGGTGAAAAGCCCCCAAACATTTGGAATCCCGAGTGCTGATTGTCCAATGAATACCAGAGAAATGCGCTGGCTTACTTCCTACACATCTCCAGTGCTGAGGAATGAGCAGCCCAAGGTATCTGAGCTGTGTGAGGTGTCCAAGGTTTGCCAGGCCCAGAGCTGAGAGCAGGGGCTTCAGTCACCCACACCCAACCAGGGGGCCTGGCAGCGTCACCCTTTCTCTCTAGGTCCCTGGACTCTGTGACACAAAGATCAACGCCTACAGCCAATCACTCACTCACATTACTTTAACATAAGTTCTTGGCAAACAACTTAGAACTGGCTCTCCTTTTCACTGTATGTTCAGGGCAACTTAGAGCCTATGCTCCCAGATGCAGTCTTCAAACTTGGCCCAAATAAAGTCTCTACTTATATTAATTTTGCCCCAGTTTTCTTCTTTTAGGTCAACAGTATAAATCTACAATTATCTCAAAACAAAAGATTTAATTACAAAAAAAGAACATTATCTGGACACAGTGGTGGTGGCGCCTGTAGTCCCAGCTACTAGGGAGGATGAAGTTGGATCACTTAGGCCCAGGAGTTCAAAGCCAACCTGGGCAACAAAGCAGACCCTATCTATTTAAAAAAAAAAGAAAAAAAGGGGAAAAAAGAAGAAAAGAGCACCATTCTCAGGGAAAGACCAGGCTGGGGCTCTAGTTCCTGGACAGCCCATCTTGTGTGTTATTATGACCCCGACGTGGAACACCAGGTCTCTCCTGCTATACTCCTTCCCTTACTAAGGCAACTCCTTCAGCCACACAAAATAGTCTAAAGGTTAATCTGCCTCCCCCACAAGCTTGGATTAAGCAGGACACTCATGCACAAGGAGGTCAGCGTCAGAAAATAACTTCTGAGTCACAGCGGGATGGCTCACTCCGCCCCCTCAGCTACTACTCACCCACTAACTGCCGCCCACGGTCAGGCCAGCCTGCGCTCATCAGAGAACAGGGACACTCAGCCAGGGAGGCTCTCTGCCCACCCACAGCTGGGTGAGTCAGGAAGGGGAAGGTCCCACTCCTGGCCCTCTCGGGTTCTTCCCGTCCACCTGCGCCTTTCCCACCAATAGGGCAAGTCTGCCCTGCCTTAGAAGCGCCACCATGCACTGTTCTCAGGAAGCAGTCCCCCCCCAGCTCAAGCCATGTAACAAAAATCACCTTCAGTCCCTTCAATTGCCAAAGGGCAAACCGCGTTTCCAAAGGGCTCATTTCCGAGTGTGGACAGAAGTTTGTTTCCACTTCCTCCTAAACGTGCCCCTCCCCCCAAGAAGCCACCCACAACCTCCCCCAGAGCAAAACTGGCAGCTCTCCCTCAGGGATCTCTCTGTACTCAGCACTTTATCTGCTCAACTCTTTTGTTTATAACCTACCTACCCACATTCCATGAGTTTCTTGAGACTAAGGATGCTGGCAGACTGGCCTCTACACCCCCCATGAACAGGGAAGGTATTCAGTAGCTTTCGGAATAAAACAGGAATAAATGTGCTCCGTCCTTTCAAATGAGTGGTCATCTGAGTACTCTGGCCCTCCAAAATTCTATGCTTCTCAAACAGTCCACATTCCTCACATGGCAATCACAGAATTCTCACCACACAAGAATTCCTACAAAGTACTGCCCCCTCATTGTTCCTTATAGGAAGCCAGATTCCTCAATGGGAACGGGAAGTTAGAAGCCGTCACCGTAAGGTTGTAAGAAGGTAGCTGCTGGCTACTCGTGCTAAGAATTCCGCTGGGCCCGCCCGCCTGCTGGCCCAGCACACACTGTCCCCTGCCAAGTGGAGTGCTGGCCAGTGAGGAAAAGGCGCTGGGCAGCTCAGTCCCGCCCGCCACTAGAAAGCTCGCTCCCGCCAGCCCTGGGCAGAGAGAGGGCCTCACTTACAACAGAATGCCAGCCAGTCAGGTCACAAATCCCCAGGCAGGGACAGAGGGGCTGTCTCCATGTGAACTTTCAGTTTAATACTGGGGACAAGGGCAGAGGCAGCTGGCAAGATCACTGCCCAGGGCCCAGATACCAGGCTCCAAGGATTTCTTAACTCTTTCAACACTCAAAAACGACAACTCTTAGGATGGAAAAATGTGAGATGTACACTTACACCAGCCCAGCAGTCCCATTCCGAGAACCTTCCCCAGTGAGGTGACCGCTAAGTTCACAGGAAGACCTGCCAGATGTTTAAGGCAGCTTCGTTCTAATCCCCAGACACGGACACAGCCCACAAGTCCTGTGACCTGCAGGCAAAGGGACAATTGCTGGTCCTCCCTCCAATGGCTTTGACTCAGCAAAATAAAGGGAATAATTTTGAAACCCCCAGCAACATGGGTGAATCTTTGACGCATTCTGAGAGAGTCCCCCAAATCCAAAAGCTACATGCGGCTGAGCCCATTCACCTGACTTTCTGGAAAAAAGCACAACTTTCAGATAAGAATGGATCAGCCAGGAGGTGGGAGGTGACTGAACCGTTGCACCTCTTGTCTGTGACAGTGGTTTAGAGACTTCATGCATTTGTCAAAACTCACACAACTGTGCCCTACAGTGAGCTATACTGTATGACAACTAGAAGAGGAAGAAATAAAAGTTTAAAATGGTGAGAGGTCTTCTACCACTTCCCAGGATGAGCACACAGCAGGGGGGAGGGGAAGCAGCGGCAAGGAAGGGCTTGGAAAGCTTTGAATGTTTGAAGGTAGAAACCGGTAAGCGAGCTAGGGCACCTCTGCTTTCAGTTTCTGTCGTTGGACGTTTCCCCGCCCTGCACCCAGCCCGGCGCACACCAGGAGCTGCCCAACCGGAAAAGCCAGAGCCCCAGGGCCCGACTGGGCAGCCTCTGTGCGCGGGCCGGGCTCGAACAGAGCCTGCGGCCGGGCTAGAAACCCCACCGAACCCTCCAAGTAGCCAGGACCCGGGGCCACGCGCCAGCCCGGGCTATCCGGGCGCTCGTTGCACGCTGACTCCGCCCCCGGACACCACGTTTCCAACAACTGACACATGCCGAGCGCGCGCAGGAGTCCCCGGGCGTGCGGGTTTCCCCCGCCGGGGCCCCCTGCAGGGCTGTCCCTCCCCAAAACGCAGTGTGCACAAAAACAGACGCCCCAAAGTCACCCACCAACAGCGCCTGTTCTGTTTCCCATCCAAAACGTGCTCTGCCCAGCCCGAAAAGTGGACCGAAGGAGTAGGGACACGCGGACGCACGCACACCGCCTCCGCCACGGGCCGACGCCGTGACAGCGACCCCCGGCGCCCCGCGTGGGCTCCTGAAACCATCCGGGGGTCTCCCTTCCAAGTTTCCACCCGGCCTGTCGCTTCCAAGGGTCCCCAGGATCAATGGGACAGCAATTCCTAACTTCCCAGGGTCGGGGCAATCCAAACGCACCCAAGATTAGAGGAACAAAATTTCCTAACTTCCCAGGGTCAGTCCAGTCCCGCCCATTCAAGATTAGCGGGACAAAATTCCTAATTAAAAAAAACAAAGAGCCAGGAGGAAAACGGGGAAGGAACAGGAGAAAGATGTCCCCCAAAATAGCAATAGGAGAGCCCAGCACGCTGACAGCGCCGGGAGCGAGCCGCCAACGGCGCCCGCGGGCAACGGCAGCGCGAACGGACTGGGGGCGCGGAGTCCCGCTCCCGCCCCGCGCGCCGGCTGCCACCCCCCGGGGAACGGCCGCGGGGCCCTGGCGGGGCGCGAACGCGGGTCCCCAACAGCCACTTGGCGGCCCGGCGCGTGCGGCGAAGGGGCCAGGGATCCCGGGACGCGGGGGAGGGGCGGCCCGGAGGCAGGGGGAGGGGAGGCACTCACGTAGACCGGTAGCGGCCACGGGTAGACGGCGGGCTCGGCCCCAACGGGCGACTTGAGCCTCAGCTCGAGCTTCTCCCCCATGTCGGCGAGCGCGGCCGCCGCACCATGCTAGGCGGGCGGTTGGGGGAGGGGCGGGGCCGCCGGCGGGAGGGCGGGCGGAGGAGGGCGGGCGGGAGGGAGGGGCGGGAGGCTGAGGGGAGGGGGCCTGGCCTTGGCCGCCGCCGCCGCCGCCGCCGCCGCGCTCCCGTCCGGCCCCCGGCTCCCTCTTTGTGGTCACAGGCCCGGGGCCTCCAGCGCCGCCGCCATCTTGGGCCGGCGTGAGGCGAGCACAATGAGCCGGGGGTCGGGCGCAACCACTCGCCGCGCGCGCGCGGGGGGGCCCAGCGCGAGGAGCCGGCGCGCGTCCCCCAACCCCGCCCGCGAGCCGCGCGCGGCACCCCCCCGCCGCCCCGCCCCGTGGACTCGCCCGCCCGCTCGGACCCACGCACGCAAGCACGCACGCACGGGCGTCCTCGAGTGCCCTCAGCCGCCCCGCCCACACCCGCCGCCCCGCCTCCCGAAGCGGGGGACCCGGGGAGATCCTGCGGGTATTGCTGGTTCGAATCTCGCCTCCGGAGGTGGACTCGGCCAGCCGTCCGGCGCACCGCGTAATAAAACCACAAATCCTTGAGCAACGTTAGAGCCGCAATCCAGGCTCCAACTCCAGCTCCAGGTGTGGGATTCAGGTATATAATGCTGTTTGTTGAGCATCTAGGATGCACAGGACACTGGCCATTTCCTGCTCCCCAGTGGAAAAAATGAAACACCCTGCCTGCAGAGGGCTTCCACTTTATAGTGTGAACTAAAATAAAATTTTAAGGCTCTCCCTCCCCATACCGGCTGACTGAATGGACCCCCTCGTGGCCAAAGGAATATCCTAATACTAAATTGTCAGCCTGGTGCGGTGGCTCACGCCTGTCATCCTAGCACTCTGGGAGACCGAGGCAGGCAGATTACTCAAGGTCAGGAGTTCGAAACCAGCCTGAGCAAGAGCGAGACCCCCGTCTCTACTATAAATAGAAAGAAATTAATTGGCCAACTAATATATATATATAGAAAAAATTAGCTGGGCATGGTGGCACATGCCTGTAGTCCCAGCTGCTGGGGAGGCTGAGGTTGCTGTGAGCTAGGTTGACGCCACGGCATTCACTCTAGCCTGGGCAACAAAGCGAGACTCTGTCTCAAAAAAAATAAAATAAAATAAAAATAAATTGTCTGCCAGGAGGAGGGAAGTCAGACACGCCTCATCATCCCCCCTCCCTTCTTGGAGACATCCTTTGTGACCCATTGACAAGCCTAAGGGTATGGAAGACAAACCTGCAGGTCCTCAATTAACACAACAAATGTATGTCCCGGTGGCTTATCTCTGATAACAACTCCTTATGTTGAAACATTCCAAGCCTTTATTTTTTTTTATTTTTTTTTTATTTTTAGACTAGTCAAGTGCAGTAGTGAGGAGGGGGGAAAGTAGTAGAACAAGGAGTTCAATCTGTAACTGACTGTGAACAATCCCGTGAGATAACTCACTACCTTTGAACCAGCCTATTCCAAGCATTTAGACAAAGCTTCAAGTCTTTAACCAATTACAAGCCAAAGAATCTTTAAACCCACCAGTAACCTGTAAGCCCTCCCTTACAGATTTCCCACCTTTATTGGCCAAACCAATGCATGTCTTCCACGTATTGATTTACGACTTTACCTGTAACCCCTGGCTCCCTGAAATATATAAAATCAAACTATAACCCAGCCGCAGCGGAGTCCACTTGACCAAGATTTCTTTGGAGTGGCTCCAGGTCATGGTCATTAAATTTGGTTCAGAATAAACTTCTTTCAAATATTTCAGAGTTTGGATTTTTCCGTTCAAAATAGAAATAGTCATAATAATGGTCAAGGGGGAAAATAATGACAAGTGTCATAGATGCTCCTCACTCCATGTTAATCTATATGTCAGCTGGTTAGGCCAAACTTTATTCTAGATGTCCCCCTAAAAGTATTTTCAGACTTGATTATCATTTAAATCAGGGCCTTTGAGTAAAGTGAATGGTTCTTTCCTGATGTGGGTAGGCCTGCCCAAGATTCCCTCCTAGACAAAACAATTTTATTTTTTTTTTGCACAGTTTTTCTCTGTCACCTGGGCTAGAGTGGGGTGGCAATCAAGGGATTCTCCTGCCTCAGCCTCCCCAGCAGCTAATGTTTCTATTTTTCAGTAGAGATGGGGTCTCTCTCTTGCTCAGGCTAGTCTCAAACTCCTGAGCTCAAGTGATCCTCCCGCCTCAGCCTCCTAGAGTACTAAGATTACAGGAGTTAGCTACCACACCTGGTATCTTTGGCTTTCCTGCAGAATCCAGTTCTAGCAAATATCCTGCCTTTAAGTCAGTTTAGCCAGCGGTCACCCATCCCCCATAGCTAGGTATCCAACCAAATTCCTCCACCCCTCACCTTGGCCTTGCTACCTTGGCCTTGTGCTGTGTGGTCACCCTGGCCTGCCTTCAGCAAGAATCCTGTTAGGTCAGTTTTGCCTTTTAGTAATTTTCCAGCCTCTGACTCCTGCCCATCTTGCTCCTTGGCGGTGAGTTCCTGCTTTTCCTAGCTGTACTCAGAGCCAGGGGAGCCCAATCTCTTGACCCTACTTCAAAACCCTGTCGCATGGTCCCTACACCTGCTCAGAGGATCCTGAGGAAAGTCTGCCTGTAGCAAGTGTCATTGAATCATTTCCTCCTTAGCAGGCCTCATGCAATCTCCTAAGGCCTTAGGAGAAAAAGAAAACAAGGTCCCACTCCCCCAAGGAAGAGGGAATTCTGCCTCCAGGCTGCAGCAACCATCCATTCTTCCTGGTGTCCAGCCTGCCGGCCTGCCCTGCAAACCTCAGACCTGCTGCCCCACGATTGCATGAGTCAGTTCCTTAAAATAAAACTCTCTGTCCGAGCACTCTGGGAGGCCGAGGTGGGCAGATTGCTCTAGGTTAGGAGTTCAAAACCAGCCTGAGTAAGACCTCGGCTCTACTAAAAATAGAAAGAAATTAATTGACCAACTAAAAATATATATACAAAAAATTAGCCGGGCATGGTGGTGCATGCCTGTAGTCCCAGCTACTTGGGAGGCTGAGGCAGAAGGATTGATTGAGCCCAGGAGATTGAGGTTGCTGTGAGCTAGGCTGATGCCATGGCACTCACTCTAGCCTGGGCAACAAAGTGAGACTCTGTCTCAAAAAAATAAATAAAAATAAAAATAAATAAATAAATAAATCTCTCTGTTCTATACAGGGCATCCTCCTCAGTGCTGCTTCTGGGGACCCCTGAGAAATGCAGCCACCCCTGTTTACCACTGAGCACCTGCCGTCCTTCCCATATCTCCCTTCCATGTGGAAACTTCTGAGGGGGGCAGGTGGTGCTGGCATCTGTTCTGCCCAGGTCAGGTGCCTGGGGTGCCCACAGGTGAGAGGTGGGGAGGCTGAGATCTCAGCACAGGTGGAGTTCTAACACCAGAGGCTGCACTCAGCCAGGACCCAGCTAAGTCCTCATGCAGCCAGCAGGGCCTTCCTGAACCCCAGACTCAGCCACCCTGGTGCCCTCGGGGGCCAGTTCAGAGCCCAGCACAGAGCAGGAGGCACAGAGCGGGAGACAGATGGATGATACTTATGGAGAACGAGTGGGGTGGAGTCTGCAGCCCATCAGCCCAGCAAAGCCAAAAATATTCATCTAGGGAGGGGGGGAAATGGGCATTTATTGAAACCTTAAAATCTGTACCCCCATAATATGCCAAAATAAAAAAAAAATTAAAAAAAATATTAATCTCTGTTTATTTTCTGTGTTTATTATGGAAAACTCCATCGATCCAGCCCTGCTGATTCATATGGCTGGTGGAGCAACTTAAATCTCACCAGGAAGGAGATGGGGTTTGGGTGTGGCACCTCCTGCAGGAGGAAGTGCCAGGTGACCTGAACTTGATGACTCGGAGCTTATGGTTGTCCTCCGTGCTGCACCAGCCATCTGCTGGGGGCCCAGGACCAGAGCAGGCTTAGCGGGGGACGGTGCCTGGAGCCAACGTCCTCCACATAGTTGTCCCTCGGGAGACTCTGGGCTCGGCCCAGCCTTGTGTCTGTTTATCCAGGGCACAACATTCATGGGACAGGGATCGTCACCATGGGTGGCTGTTTCGGGGATGCCATCT